TTTTGAAAATGAATATGTCGTCCAAAATACTTTTCTCACTAAATGAATTCTAACCACCCGCTTTTTACTTTTAGACATCTTGTCAACACTTTTCTTAATCTCCATGGATTCAAAGAGAGAATTAATTTGGGATGGAGGGAGTATTTTGTTATAACTTTTCTGTTTAGTAGGGGGTGGTGACTGAACGTTTATTTAGCAGGCTTGCTGTGGTCGCAATGTGCATGGAATGAAAAGTGGGAAAATGGCCAAACAAGCTGCATTAGCGTTTGTTAAGCGGACATTGGAAAGATACGAAGAATTCGAGGAGACTGGTAAGAGCTGCTTTAATGAGTCCTTGTTTAAGGAAATGTTCTTCTCTGGGATATCCCAGTTTTGTGATGGACAAATAGATCTGATCACCGATGGTGAACCTGGCAGTTCTGGGGATGCTAGACCTTCAGGTATTCTTAATTATGTATGTGTGGGATTCAGTGAATATTGCTTGTTTTATTAGAGAGAATGTTTTAATTTCTTCAGTCACTATTTTTAAAAACATATTTTTATATTTTTGTTCACAGGTTCTATGGGCAAACAGCAGAGCCCATCTCCGAATCATGAAGTATTTACTGAAGGAAATTTAGCTATTGATGCGAATAGGGTCAAAAGGAGAGAGTTGTTTCTGGACGATGTTGGTAATAAGATTGGTACATCAGGCATGCTTTTAAGCACTGCAAAAGGAAAGAGGAGTGAGAGGGACAGAGATGGGAAAGGAAATAACAGAGAGGTCCTATACAGAAATGGATCTAACAAAATTGGTCGGCCTGCGTCTGCCAATGTTAGGGGAGAAAGGAAGCCTAAAGCAAAACCCAAGCAGAAAACTACTCAGCTCTCTACTTCTCTCAACAATCTAGTTGGCAATACCCCGGAGCAATCCAAGCCAACTGGACCTTCAATAACAAAACCAATTGAGTTGAGCACAATAAGCACGGCCAAGGATAATAAGGATTGTGAATCTGAAGAACTGGAGGAACCCATTGATTTATCTAGCCTACAACTCCCTGGAATGGATGTCTTAGGCGTTCCTGATGATCTCGGTGGCCAAGGACAGGATATAGGATCTTGGTTGAACTTTGATGATGAAGGATTACAAGATCATGATTTTGTGGGGCTTGAGATTCCAATGGACGATCTCGCCGACTTGAATATGATGGTTTAATGATGCTCGCCAGATTTGTTGTATATTATACGCTCACACTGAAGAAACCTCGTTGTTGTTGTTGTTGAGAATGTCCAGATACACACACACTTGGGGTCGGTCATACAAACTCTTACACCCGGCATTAGGGATATACATTCTTTTAAACAATGAAGCACAAAGTGGACTTCTCTAAATCCGCTGGGGGGTTCCTTTTGAAGTTTATGACCACGACTGTAAAAATCTTCTTTTTTGTACACCATCAAAAGTAGTGTCTTAGTTATATAGTGCCCAAGGAAAAAGGCTGTATTTTATTTGTTTTTTAGCAATATAGGCCAGAGAACACCATCCATCTTCTGTATATAAGTTAACTTTTCAATAAAAGAATCCCATTTATCCATAAACAATCCTCTGTTGGCATCTCTTTCATGCAGGATTTGTGTTTTCATAAGCTTGTTTTGTTAACACTGGTGGAATTTGAACTTGTAAGGCGGGTTTTCCAGCTTGTATCCACCAAGTATATACCTGCCAGTAGGTTTTGCTTATATCTGCCCTCCAGGTATTGCTCTCTTTCTATCTGATACTCTCTCCATTCTCTAGAATTGAATGAATCTAGACATGATGTATATCAATATTCATTCAATTTTTTTTGAAGGATTCATTCAATTTTTAATGCATCTGGATTGTCTCTCCATTCTCAAAAATTGAATGAATCTAGACATGATGTATATCAATATTCATTCAATTTTTGATGTATCTGAATTGTCGTAAGAGGGATTATTTGCTATATTGTTCTATCAGATACTCTATCCATCCAAATTAATCTTCACTCTGTTTGACTAAGTACAGTTACACAGAAGGGAACGAAACAATATCAATTCTTTTCTAAAAACGAAACATGAAGATTAATTTGGGACGGATCGAGTATCCATATATTTTTATGAACTTTGCATAATGTTGCAAAAAATGGTGGCTATTAATCAGGGTTGTGTGGGGATGAGTACTTATATTATTGTAAAAATATTGAAATAATTATGCAATCTTGGAGTGTAAAATCTCAAATTTTTATATGATTTTATTCAATTAGACTGTGCTTAAAGTTTATCCACATCTGTAACAATGTATTTAGATTCAGTGGTTGGGTCCACAGTTTTATAACATTGTTGAAAACAAACAAATACAACTGTCAAAACATTTTCATGTTAATCCAAGCCACCAATATGGGGTACCCCAAGTGTACACCAAGCCAACACAGACACACACAGACATAAAGTGTCTGTGTTGCACAGACATTTTGTGTCTGTGTGTGTCTGTGTTGGCTTGGTGTACACTTGGGGTACCCCATGTTGGTGTACCCCTAGCATTGCCCTAATCCAAGAAGCCATACACATATCAAATGCTCTAAATATGTATTTTCAGTCTCCTAGCCAGGTCGAGTAATAGGTGACCCTATACATGGTTTTAATTATTTTTATAGCTCTATTGTTTTTCATTAACTCTTATTACCATCAGTGTGATATATGTTCAAACCAATCTAAGAGGGTGTTTGGCAGTGCGCTGCTTTTAGTAATTTAGCTTCTACTTTGAGTAAAAGTGATTTTATTCTGTTTGGCATGTCAGCTTCTGCTTTTCACCACCACTATTTTATACACAGAACACCGTTTTGGAGAAGCAAGTATGAGGTGTTTTTGCTTTCAGCTTTTGTGAAAATCACTTTATCCAGAAGTTAATCACTCCCAAACAAGCTCTAAGTCCTTTAAGCGTAAAAATAAGGCTTGAACACTAGATGTGAAGAAACTTGTAGTGGCATCTTTGACACTATGCCGGCATGTTTCCACTATAACTCCATTGTTTGGTACTCCGTATAATTAGCGGTAGAAACTTATTCCGAAATACCTTCAATTTTATAGTAATAACTCTAAGGTTTCACACAATCTGAAATATACTCCGAGCTACTCTCGATTTTTAAGTAAGATCTTTCAAGTCTCACATATATTGATCAAAATATATTCCGGAGGTGCTTAAAATTAGTGGTAATATACTTCAAGGGTATATTCCATGTATTTGATTTTTAGCATTTAAAGTTTCGCTACATTGACAAATATTAAATTTTATCTTGATAATCATTATTTTGTTAAATTTAAATAGAATCTCTTAATTTGTCAAAGGAAAGAAACTTTCAACCATAACGCCTAGTGGCTGGAATGTATCCTCGAAGTAAATTTTATGAACTATTCCATCCGTCTCATTAAGAGTGTCACATTTCCTTTCTCAACTATCACGAGAATTTTTATTTATTTGTACGTTTTCATTATTTATTTAATAAAATAAAATATTTTTTACATCTCTTATTTCGAAGAATTTTTTATGTAATTTTTAAATATGTAAATTTTATTTTTTTATTTCGACACTAATATTTAAATAAAATGAAAAAAAATTAACATTTTTTCTCGTTTTACGAAATATGGCAAACATTTTAGGACTATGAAATACATTTCCCAAGGCTTATGAGCTATTAACAAAAAGGAGCATGCTAGGGTGCCACCATGGGTGCACTCATACTTCGCACAGACAAACAATTATCGTCTATGCGACACAGACAATTATCGTCTGTGTTTGTCTGTGCGAAGCATGGGTGCACCTAAGATAGCACCCATGTCGGCCATGTGGTGGCACCCTAGGATTTTCCTTACAAAAAAGGATCATGCTAGGGTGCCACCACATGGGTGCTACCATGGGTGCACTCAAGCTTCGCACAGACAAACACAGAGGATAATTGTCTGTGTCGCACAGATAATTATCTTCTGTGTTTGTCTGTGCGAAGTATGGGTGCTCCCATGGTAGCATCCATGTGGTGGCACCCTAGCATTTTCCTACAAAAAATGGAGAATTTATTTTGGTGTAATTTGACATCAATATTCCGTACATCAACTTTGGGACTTTGGTGGTGTCACGCAGGCCAAAGCACGAGATCTCAACGTGGCACAACCAGAGACGGTTTGGGCCCCACAGGGAGCTGATTAGGTAACAATCAGATGATATCCCCCGGAAAAAATCAGGAAGCGGTCCCCACAACGTGTCACATGTTAACACGTCATTGGATACTAGCGGCCTTGTGGGACCCGCCTGACATGGGCACTGACTTCTTTTTCTCTCTCTTCTTTTTTAGACACGTTTCTTTGAAGATCATATCTCCCCCGAGTATTACTACAGTCACAAACAAACACTTCACAAAATTCACAACTTTACCTTTTAACATTTTTCTAGAAATAAGATAAACTCAAATAATAAAAGATTTTTTAATGAGCTCTAGCATTTTCAATCTCCCCCATAGTGGTTAATCTCAAACAATATTCTCTCATTCTAATCTAAATTTTATATTTCGGTTTATGATGTTTAACTAAAGTTATTTTTAAATCATTTTATATGAAAAGTGGTGTAAAATTAATATAAAAAGATTACATATTTAAAAATTACATAAAAAATACTACGGTATACAATAGTAATACTGACATTACAATATTATTTTATCAAATACTAACTAACAAAAACAAAGAAAGAAAATGAACAAAGTTTGACCCAGTTAATAGTAAACAGATAATTTAATTAGGGATGAGGGAGGAGCATAATTATTTTTTCTCAGCTAACAGTCTGGTCATTAGTGAAGCTTCCTCAAAGATGAAATTCATCTTCTTCTTCTTTTTTTGAATTAAGAAAAAAACCTTGGAAAACTCTACCTCTAACACAATTTCTTCTAAAAAAAGAATTTGTTTTCTTTTTTTCATATACATGTCCTTAATTATTTGTTAAAAACAGTAGAATCATATGATCTCTATTTTCTTCAAAAAAATTTGAAGTATAATCTCTATTTTTAAACATAATTTTTTAATTTTGTTAGAGTGTGGTATATGTTCATGCATCATTTATCTATTATTAGGTGTTCCCATTAATATTCAAATCTGTGACTTTCTATATGACAGAACGTGATGTTGTTGGATCATAAAGTTCAGTCTTATTATCTCTTGTTTTACATTATAATAACTTTTTAGATGTAAAACCACAATTTGTAAGAGCACTGGGTATACTCATAACGCCACCCGGCGTTAGGGTTGTTTTCACGCCCCGAGGGCGTTAAACACCACCCCCGGCGACGTTACCCGAGCGTGAAACGACCTGCGTCAAAGGAATGACGCTTCGTCGTTCTCTTCCCCTCCCCCTTTAACGGCTATAATAGCCGTTGGACCCCAAAAAAATTCCTTATAAATTCAAACCCCCCTCCCAATCTCTCACACCTTCCTTCTTCACTCTTCTTCAATCTTCTTCTTCCCATAATTTCGAAATCACCCCCTCTCTTTTCGACGATCTCCCGCCGAGTGACGCCGCGATGTGGTTGTACCAAGAGTGGGGCGATCGACCGCCGATCTACGAGATGCAACAATCGGGGTACGTCGAGCGAGATTCGGTTCCGGAGATTCAACCGGAACCAACCGGGTCGAAAAGAAGTACACGCCGAAAAAGCCACAAAGCCAAAGGCACGATGACCGAGGCGGCAGAGTCAATCCAAAAGTGTATGCCGGAGGAGGAGTGCTTATTGGCGCCGGCTTGGGTTGACGTCTCCGAGCATCCTATCATTGGTAAAAAAATTATTTTTTCTAATATATTTATGTTTTTATTTATATATATTATATTTAATCGTGTCTAAAAAAACTGTGTTATACATTTTTAAAGGTTCGGAGCAAACGAAGGATGCGATGAGGGATCATATCGAGGAGAAGTTCTTCACGGCGATGAACAACGACGGCTCCTACCGAACCCGGGACCAACTCACTTCCAAATGGAGCCACATCAACCGTGAAGTCCTAAAGTTTATCGGAGTTTACGAGGAATGCTCCCGGTCCCGGAGGAGCGGGACGAACAACGCCGATGTTCTCCGGCTTGCCACGGCGCGATATCAAGACGATGGGTACCAAGGCAAGGTGCCCATCGATCTTTGGAGGATTTTGAGCCATTCCCCGAAGTGGCAACAACTCAACAATCCCGACAGCGGATCGTTCGAGAAAAGATCCTCCGTCGACGCCGAGTTTGAGGTCGACGAGACTATTGGTTCGACCGATCAAATCCCTCCCTTCAACGTTGTGGATTCCGATGTTGAGGACCTCATTCCACGGCCGATCGGAAGAAAGAAGCAAAATCCATTGCCTCGGGTTTGGGAGGGTCCGGCTCTGTTTCCGCTTCTTCCCGCGACGAAATCGGCCGGGAAATGGTTGAACAACTTCGGGCGTTCAATCTCCGAGAACAAGAGAGGTTGAAGCTAAAGGAGAAGGAGTTGAAGCTAAATGAGCAGGAGGCTGAGATGAAAGTCATGGAAACCGACCCCGAGACGTTGTCGGAGATTGGACGAATGCTCTACGAACAAAGAATAAAAGAGATCAAGGAGAAATATAATTTTCCTTAGTTTTTTTATTAATGTATCTTTTTTTTTATTATTGTCGCTTTTTTTAATGAATGTATTTTTTATTATTCGTGTTTCAATATAATTAAATAATAAATTAATTACATTTTATTAATTTAATTTTAGAAGATGTATATTTAAAAATGTAAAAAATGAAGGTTTGAAGCCCTAGTTTGAAGCCCCGGAGCTTCAAACTCATTTCCAGTGAATTTTGGGTGTAAGTTAAAGCTGATGTGGCAGAGAGAGAAAGTTTGAAGCCCCGGTTTGAAGCTCCGGAGCTTCAAACGTATTTCCAGTGCCCTAATAAAAATGAGAAAACTACTATTAGAAAACTACTACCGAGTATTTTTTTGAGAAACTACTATTTTTTTGAGAAAACTACTATGAGTAAAATTCTACTATTTTTTGAGAAAACTACAGTTTGTAATAAAAATCTAATAAATTCATTTTTACTAATATACATTACTCCCTCCGTCCCTGAGTATTTGTCGACTTTTGATTTTTTTCAGTCAAAATTGATAAACTTCAACTTCAAATTAAATAAAAATGATATTACATATTGATAGAAAATAATTTCATTATATTTATTGTATCAAATATTTTCAAAATATTATTTTATCTAATTAATATACAATATATATTTTATTTCACTATCGGTCAAATGTTGAAAATAATTAACTGAAAAAACTCAAAACTGAAAAAATACTCAGGGACGGAATTAGTATAATTTTAATTTTAGTGTAGTTGAAAGTCAAAGTTTATATAATTTGTTTAAAAAAAATTAAACTAGATAAATATAGGAGAGAAGGAGTCGAAATTTGTTCCTATGACAATAAATGTTTTCAAAAGAACCCGGCGGTGATTTAAAGTATTCCAACAATGAAAAATTAAACTATTCAAAGAACATCAAAAATTCAATTTAATTTTTTTCAACTTATTCTATTTCTTTTATTCTATTTCTTGTACTCTCTCCGTCCTATTTTAAATCACCCGTTTTTTACTTTTAGGCATATTTAAAGAAAATTAAAAATAGAGTTGATTTTTTGAAATTGTCAATATTTTTTAAGAGGGATGATGATCAATGAGAATATAATGTGGAGAAGATTGACTTATTTTAGAAGAGTTTATGTATTTTATTTTTAAAAATTTACGAAAACAACTAACAAGCAATTTATTTTGGAATGAAGAAAAAAGGCAAACAAGCAATTTAAAATGAGACGGAGGGGCTACAAAGTAGCCTATCAAATTTTCTGATTTGGTGTGATTTTTATTTTTTTCATTCTTCAAAAGAATTCTTTCCAGTCCAATCTTTAAGAATAGTAAGCAACTTCTCTTTTATTTCCCCCTTCTTCTGTTTGATTACTTGCTTTTCATTCTTCAAACGATTTGTGTTCGTCGTCTGTGTGATTATAGATGTTAACTCTGTTAAGCGCAGGGAGAAGATTTTGATGAAATGAATCAGAAGAAATCATCACGAGATCGGGCGGCATTGGATTGAATCTGGGGGATTTCAATGGAGGAGGCGATTCCTGTTCCATACAAGCCGCGAGGCGCGCTGATTTACGACGAATCCGTGCTCTCCTCTCGCGTCGGCGGCGTCAATGGATTTGACCTAATCTCGACCACAAAGAGGGCTTTTTCCTGGGATTCCGCTTTGATCTCCAGGCTCCTTCCCGGCTCGCTTGGGGATTCCGTGAGGAAATTGCCGCCGCCTGTTCTGGAGGAGGTTTCCAAGGATTTGAAGCTGATGCGGAAGCAGCGTGGCTTTGGCTTTGATTCTCCGCCTCTGTGGGGACTCACGTCTATCCGCGGAAGGCGGTCGGAAATGGAGGATGCCGTCGTTTCCCGGCCGTGGTGGTTCCCGCCGGCGACCCCTTCTCCGGTGCTGGTTGGTGGCGGAAGGAACCAAAGCCTGGCGGCGCACTTGTTTGGGGTTTTTGATGGACATGGAGGGAGTGAGGTAAGCTTTCCTCTAGCCTTTGTTTTATTAGTACCATTATTATTGTTATTAATATTAATCTTAATATTATTGTTATTAATGTCAATAGAAATATTGAATAATAAAACAATTCGAAGCAATGTCAACTGTTTATACTTTGCATTAAACACTTTCATATACCCTTTTTGGCTCTTATGGAGTATAACCTTTGTTGGATTTTTGATAGGTATGGAATTCTTAGGATCCGCTTGGAACTCTTGAAAACTGCTAGGGGAAAAAAAACTGGAAGGAAAAAAAAGGAGGGAATCTTAAAAATGCTTCAAACTCAGCAAACATTTTTCAATGTTTGTTCAAATTCATTTTATTTAAAATTTTCGATCATACAAAGACTAACAAAGCTGGGATTATAATCTAACATCAGCAAATAGGAACAAATTTGCAAACAATTCAATCATCCTTTCATGTCCTCCTCTCCATAATATAGGCATTTTGTATTGATTGTAATAGTGTTTCCGTGAGTGAGCATGCTTTTTCTCGGGCATAGAACCCCATTTTAATGCTGAATCTCTACATAAATAAGCCTGATCATTACTCATTTTAAAGTTTGTACCTTGAATGAGTTGACTAAAAGGAAACGATTTTACCTTGCGATAACATGACTTTGAAAGAAAAAAAAACTATTTGGGATAAATGTAGTAAAAGTTGAATGCGTCATGCTTGTTGCAGGTTGCGAATTATTGCTGTGAGCGTCTCCATGTAGCCTTAGCTGAGGAGGTGGAGAAGGCGAAGGAGGACGATTTAGAGGTTGGAGGGATTAAGTGGAAGGAGCATTGGGAAAAGGCATTGTGCAGCTGTTTCCAAAAAGTTGATGATGAAGTTGGAGGAGGAACCTCTAAAGGTGACATTGCACCAGAAGCTGTTGGGTCTACAGCTCTGGTTGCTATTCTTTGTCCCACACATTTAATTGTATCAAATTGTGGTGATTCAAGGGCAGTCCTATGTCGCTCTAAATTGCCCGTGCCATTGTCTGTTGATCACAAAGTAAGACTTCTTTACACTCGGGTATTTTTCTTTCTTATCGAGGGGTGCTAATCTCACGCCCACTTTTTTTTACAGCCTTTCTTACATCCATCTGTCATGTCTTTGAATTGCTTTCACTCAAACTTATCATAGGATAGAAAGTTTCTAACTCATAGATCACCTTTGTAAAGTTTTACAATGATCCGACAATGTTTCAACGTGAATCTTTCAACTTGTATTTTACACATTTTAGAACATTTAATTTTATTGCGCCTTGATTTTTATTTCTTAAATGAATCACAAAACGATGGTGGATTGTTGTGAAATTTTACGAGCGTGATCTATGGACAGTTTTGAATGAAAACAATCCGAGGAAGATATGACTGATGTAAGAATGTGTGTCAGTGGCAAAAAGTGGGTTTAAGATTAGCTCTTTTTTTCCTTCTTTACAACAACCAATATCCTTAACACTATGGTTGGTTCTGAGAATTACGAAGGAAAAGAAAATGCGAAGGAAAAGAAAGTTAAGGAAAAAATCCCAATTTCATTTGGTTAGTAGGGAAATTGTTAAGGAAATTACTTTTCAAGAGTACCTCAGGTCGTTGTGAAGTAAATGAAGGAAAACATAGTTTAGAAGAGGGTGGAGGGTAAAGTGGTCGTGAAGTAAATGAAGGAAAACATAGTTTAGAAGAGGGTGGAGGTAATGGCAGAGTGGGGGATGGGGGGGATGGGGGGTAGTGGCCAGGGGTGCAACGGGGACAAGGGAGGAGTTTGTTGCTTTATCTTTTTTCCTCGCCAATATGGAAAGAAAATAATTGTCAGTTTACATTTTACTTCCAGTTTTATTTTCCTTTTCTTTCTAACCGGATACTAATACTCCGTATAATTTTTTCTTACCATTTCCTTTTCTTTTCTCTTCCGGATTCCATGAACTAAACAAAGTGTAAATGTGTTCTTTATTTTCAGCCAAATAGAGAGGATGAATATTCAAGAATTGAAGCTTTGGGAGGAAAGGTCATTACTTGGGATGGGCATCGCGTTTCTGGCGTGCTTGCAGTTTCAAGATCCATTGGTGCGTGTTGGCTTACCGAATCTATTGATCTTTCTGAAATAACAGAAGTTTTTTTTAGGATTAATTTTTTTTTTAAATAACCTGCATCATTAAAAAATAATCTAAAACACTAATCACAGACATTCCTGTCCGGTATAACAATGTTTAATTTTTCTATTCCTCGCTCACAAATAGGCGACAGATATCTGAAGCCATATGTAATACCTGACCCAGAAATAACATTCGTGCCCCGGGCAAAAGAAGACGATTGCCTCATTTTAGCCAGCGATGGGCTATGGGATGTGATGACTAATGAGGAAGTATGTGACGTGGCACGCCGCCGGATTCTGCTATGGCACAAGAAGAATGTTTCTTCAGGGGCCGCCGCCACGGCTTCTAAAGAGAGCAGCAATAATGACGGAACTGACCCTGCCTCTCAAGATGCAGCCGAGTACCTCACTCGCATTGCCCTCCAAAGGGGCAGCAGAGACAACATATCTGTCATTGTGGTGGACTTGAAGGCTCACAGGAAGTTCAAGAAGAAAGCAGCATCGTAGCAAGTTTTTTTCCAGCTAAGATGTTCAGACACATTACTGTAAATAAAGATAGTTTTCATGACCGAGACAGTCCCGGGGCGAGGAAGCTTCTGGAAGCAGACGAACCGCGTAACGTGCTCTAGTAAGAAATTCTTTTGAGTTTCATTCCATGATACTGAGTGTTTGTTTTGAGTGTTAAGGGCTCTCTTGTTTTATGCTCTGAGTTCACCTCTCATTTCTCATTTCTATCAAATGCTTGAGTATTTCAAAACAAATATGAAATGATTGTGATGGGTAATATTGGAATTAGCCCAATACACTTGGCCCAATTTATCTATCTATTAAGTTCTTTTGTAGTACTTTTGATAAAATAATATAATTACGTGACTTATGTCATTTGTTCTTTTGCAGTACTTCCATTCTTTTGCAGTACTTTTGATATTGTTTTTTTAAGTATGTAAGTTTAATTTTTTAATTCTATCCCAATGGTCTTACAAATTGAATGAAAAATTATTTCAGTCAAACACCGTAAATCGAAATATACCATATAAAATGGGACGGACAGAGTACGATATAATATCATACAATACTCCAAATTTGCCCTATTATCTACACATTTTAAGAAACAAAAGATGATGTACAATAGCTACATAGATATTTTTTTCTATTAATCTAAATAAAAATTACACCAGCAACAAAAAAATTTAGTTGCTGGGCAAGATGCACGGAGACACTTTACCAGGTTTCCAGAATAAGAATCTGTTCTTTAGGGCTTGAACTCTAAACTTCCAGTTTCTTCCAGTTCCTTCTAGTTTTTTCCAGTTTCTTCCAGGAACTTCTAGTTCCTTCCAATTCCTTTCAGATCCTTCCAATTTTTCCAACTATTCTCATTTTCTTCAAACTCTTTTTACTCCTCAACCAATTACTCTAAAATTGATATATTTTAATGTGATTATTATTATTATTATTATTATTATTATTATTATTATTATTATTATTATTATTATTATTATTATTATTACAACTGTTATGTTCATAACTATAGTTTATAAATTATTTTTTTCATCTCACTATTTTTAAGATTCACACTCATTATTTTTTTTTTCTTTAACTTTTTAATATGAATAAAGAAATTTTTTATATATTAGTCTACATGATAAAACAGGAAAACATCAATATATTAAATTATATTAAAAAAATTATGGATAAAATAGTGAAATTAAATGTTTTATTAATCTAACTTTATATAAGATCCCTCACATTTCCCTTTATTACTTGAAATTTACTCATTTTTCTAATTTTTATAAAAAAATGTATGTCAAAATAGTTTAGAAAAAAAGACTAAAATAGAAGTAAAATATAAAAAATGTAAAAAAAAGTTCTATGTCTTTATTCCAAAAATAGAACTTCAATGAAAATAAAATGTCAATCATGATAGAAAAATAGGTTTGATTACATTATATGACATGTCTGACATTTAAAACAAAATTTTGTACGTAGTAATATATATAAAGTATAATTACAAATATATTATTTATAATAAATACTATATAAATAAATTGAGGTTCATTATAACGACAAAGACTTTTTAAAATTTAATATTTTTATATTTATGCTAACTTTATATTACAATTATTGTTTTCCAAAAGTAGTTTTTTGTATTTAAAAAATAATAATACTTTTTTTGTATAATAATAATAATAATAATAATAATTTATAACAACAAGAATTTAAAACAAATGTTTTTAAAGTTTTTTTAGGTTTTCCAATTTTTTGAATTTTTTCCAGTTCCTTCCAGTTTTTTCCAGTTCTTCCAGCTCCTTCCAGTTTTTTCCAGTTTCTTCCAACATCCAGCTCTTTTTTTCTAGTCCTAAAGAACATGCCCTAAGATGTTTTCTACTATTTCTAACAGTCTATTATGACTTTATTGGTACATTTAAAATTGAATGTATGTGGACGTAGATTATGTCTACATTCATTCAATTTTTAATTATTAAAAAAGTTGTAATGGAAAGAGAATGGAGGCAGCAGCCAGTTTTAAATAATATCCAAGGTGTGATTGCAGACCAACACTTGTGAATGTATGCAGATTGAAGTGGAAACAAACCTGCAGAAACCCATAGATGAAACAATTCTCTTAAAGAAACTCAAGGCAACACTTTTTATCATAAGAAGAAACAATTATTTTAAAAAAACAAAAACCAGGAGGTTGAAGGTACCCAACAAAGAGCACAATTTACCAATTATAAATAGCTCAAAGTGTTGGAAGGAGAGACGATACGGGAGCAAAGTAAGACGCGAGATCAATATTGTGATCGTCGTACATGTCGATGAAAGGGTGTTTCTGTCCACAATGCATTAAAACGATATAAGTGATTGAACCTTATGAAATTGGCAAACGCATGTAAATGACCACCATATCAGCCAATTACCATTAGTTCATTTGTTGACAATCTTTTCTTGGGGTCCTTCTGCACACTAAAAGGAGCAAACTTTATTCAGCAACAACAAACGCAGTAGAATCCCACAAGACAGTAAGATCCAGGAAGGGTATGTGTACGTAGGCTTTACTCCTACTTAGAAGTAGAGTTTATTCAAGAACGTAAGTAAGAAAAAAGCACAAACCAAGAATTTATTTTGGGGGTACGAATTCAATGTTTCAAAAATGATACGCGCTAAGTGGAATTATTTATAATAAAAAAAACTTTAGCCAGTGCCTACCAGGAAGCAATGAATGAGCAAAAGTGTGGAGAGAATATATCAGGATTCGCACGAGGCTCAGGTTGATTCACTATGGTCTCCATAAGCTCAAAGACATTTGTCCATCCTGCTTGCCCTTTCTGGGGTGGGGAGTATGGGAAATCACCCGCTGCACACTCGAGAAGAACTAAACCCAAGCTCCAAATGTCGCTCCTATATCCATGGCGTGGTCCCGCAATTCTTTCTGGCTACATAAAAAAAGATCCCGAGAAAAAATGAATGCATATTGACCAACACAAGCAATCCGAATGCAAATTATGTGTGGGGTTAAATACCTAAACAGGAGTAAAACATTGAAATAGTTCTTAAATAGGAATTCAACTCTTTTTTATGTCTGAATAGAAGTTAAATAGGAGCATTTCTATAGGTATTAAGACCTTTAGACTATGGTTAACATACTCACAGACATATAATTATAGGTGCCAATGAAGGTACTCGCGGCTCCAGACGTGCTCTTGAGTATCACGCTCACACCAAAATCAGTAATCTTGACATCACCTCTATGATTTATCAACAAATTTTGCGGCTTCAAGTCGCGGTGGATGATATGTTTTTCATGATGAAGATACCACAACCCCTTAAGTACCTGATTTTAACAATAAAAAAATGCGAAAATAACGGCATGAAATCTCAACAGGTTTCAATAGATAGTTTATGCAACTCCTGCCTACCTGCTTGCAGATTGCAGCTAAATATGGTTCTGGGATAATTCTGACCATTTTCAAGAAATCTGCAAGGGACCCACCATCCATGTACTCCAAGATCATGGAGATAGACCCGTTTTCGAAAAATGCTTCGAAACATATGACTACGTAAGGACACTTTGATGACTGGTTTATTCTCAATTCTTGCGCAATGTGCTTGCGACTGGACTCTTCAATATTCAGTTGAATGACCTGCAATGCAAATGAAGAATAGCCTTGTGTTAGGGATTTGTTTTGGGCACCTCCCAAAAGTCCTCATATTAATCGAGTTGGATGAACGCTTATGTTTTCGTTCATTTCTTCTTCTCCATCCGGTGTTAGTAACACTACGTTTGGTTCAAGGAATTTGGAAAGAAAAAGAAATGGGTCTCTCTCATTTTCCTCAAAAAAAAAACGGGAGGAATCTGGTTTTCTCTGCTCTTATTACCAAGATCATATCTTTCGAAATCGACAGGTTGAAAGGTATGAAGTACAAACCTTGAGAGCAAAGAGTTGTTGTGTCCACTTATTTTGGACGAGCCACACGACTCCGCCGCTTCCCTTCCCTATGACTTTAATAGGTTCAAAGTCTGCCAAGCATAGATGCTGATCTGATGGCCCCATAACTGAAGCCTGAACAAGAAGAATTTGCAAGTTAAAAGAAGTTCCCCATCAAATATGTATATTTCAAACAAATAAATATGCCCAACCATTTACAAAATTTCACCAAGTTGCACTACAATGTGCTCTGCTAGTTTGGTAGTGCAATGAAATTTGGCAAGTTGGTTCATGAGTTTACTGACTTCTTTTCTTCCCCAAAATACTTCTTAGGGAAAAAATGGAGACTTGAACATATAAGAATCCACCTTCTAAGGGGTTGTTTGACAACTTCTGAATAGGTAAGTGCTGAACCAGTAAGAGATCTGAACCATTAAATGTTGAACCATTAAAAGCTAGTATGTTGCTTAACTATTCAGAGGCAAATGTCTGATCAATTCAGATAAGAGGTCTTAACCATTCAGACTTTGTATAATACTTAACCATTCAGAGGCAAATGTCTGAACCATTCAGACATCTGAACCATTAAGATGCTGAAACAAACAGTCTGAACCATTAAGTGCTGAATCATTCAGACATCTGAACCAACCATTAAGAGGCTGAAACCTAACTCCACCAATATGGAACTCGAAGAACAAATTTGGCACGACTTATGAACAATATCATACTACTAAGGCTGTCTGTCCCATCATTACCCTCCGAAGTTGTGTTTTTCTCAGAATTTTCAAAGATCCAGAGACACAGAAGTAAGAAAAAATGAATTCTTGAAAATCAGTAGATTTTAAATATAAAAAAAAAAACACACCTGTGGGGCGTGATTTTCGGAGATAATTTGAATTCCAAATTTGTTGACAAGCAGATCCCCATCCTTAAACGTTCCCGAATCGGTCCTACACACAATCCCAAATACTTAGTAAGAATTAATAACTCCTTAAAAATGACAACAAGAAGAGTTGCAGAGGAAGAAAGAAAGAAAGAAAGAAAGAAAGAAAGAGGGTACCCGAAAAGGGGAGGTCGGTCCTTAGCAGGGACAGATAGTGCAACCAGTGTTCCCTCTAAATCCCCTTTCTTCATTCCACTGCTATTTCTCCTAATCATTTTTTTATCTTTCTTTCTTTCTTTCTTTCTTTCTTTTTGCTGGGAATCTGGTCCGAGGTTTTCTGAGAATGTGATTTCCCACTTGAAAAGGGATACACGACTTTTTCTCATGAGTGATTTTGATTTTTCCATTTTTCCGTACTCGTGCTTGTTTATTACTTCCTCATTCTCTTTCATTTTCTACGCATCCCATAAAACATTTCTCTCCAACCTTAAATGCCAAAAAAATTTTCAAAACAATTTCTACCTATAACAAAAGAAGAGATATGCAGTAAATTTTAAACAATTTAGATGTTGGTAGAAGTGTTTTATGAGATGCGCAAAAAATGAAACAAGAACATGTTTTAGAGACGGAGGAATTAGTTAACTTCTACTATTGATTGATTTATCTTATGTGAAGAATGCTTTTTATATATACTTTATTGTATCATCCATTATTTTTAAGTAAATATACTATTCTATTATTTCAACAAATACAAATACTTGGATAATACACATTATGTGCCATTTGACAATAATTTCACCGTTTTGGAAAGTCAACGCAGTATAAAACAATAACATTTAGCTTTAATATTTTTTAAGTTAGACCTTATTTTCTTCAACTTATTTTATTACCTACTCCCTTTGATCAAAAAAGAGTTTCACCTACATTTTTTTGTATTTCACAAAATACTCATATCCTCATTTAAATGTTTAAAATACATTTTGTTCTTCCTTTATTGTGAGTAGAATTTATTTTGAAATATTCAAGACATTTTAGGTGGAATGAAAGTATTCTTGTAACATAAGAAACAAATGTTTTTTGTGGGATGTGCAAAACATGAAAGTAAAACTAATTTTTCAAACGGAGATAGATTTACTTATTTTTACTAAAATTAAATCAGGTAAGAAATAACTTTAAATATAATTACATTCAATTACAGTATGATAAGATCATATGATATAAGATCAATTTTTACTAGAATCAGATCACATGTAATAATATCAAACGAATAGATCAACCTCTAATTGGTATAGTTTAACAAATAATCTAAAACATTAACTTTAATTTAAAAAAACTTATCTCAAAAGAAGCCTATATCAAGTTAATGAAGTTATCAACCTTATTTTTCTTTCGGGGACAAGTTATCAATCATTATGATTCATTGTCCTTGGCCGTTACGATATGATAGAAATTATTTTAAAATAATTTTATACTCCCTCCGTTCCACAAAATCCTCCCCCTTTCATTTTTTTTGAATTCTCTAAAACACTTCCACTTTCTATTAAAAACAACTTTTACCCTTACTTTTTCGTACCTTACCTATCACATCATACTTTTTCACTAATAACTAAACTATCACATCTTACTTTTACTCATCACATCAGGGGCAAAATTGAAAAATCAACCAAAATTTCACTTTCCTTATTTTTGCCAAAAGTCAAAAGTGAAAGTGTTTAAAGGAACGGAGGTAGTATAAAAATTAGTGTAAAATTAACAAAATAAAAATTATATATTTAAATTTTAAAAGTTATATCAAAATATCTACAAAAGAAAAATATGTTATGACTATATTATTTTATTAAATAAATAATAAAATAGCTAACAAAATAAATAAAATTTAATTTTATTGGGAAATTAAAATGTAGGTCCATAAAATTTATTTTATGGACCTACTTATGAGTAAAACATGCTTTTTCTTATTATTTAAATAAGCATTTATTTTTTTAATTAAAAAAATAAAAAAGTTTTTTTTATATGAAAAGCTCCACGAAAATGGTATGCATCCAAGGTGACTAAATAAACACTCATTTTGTTAATGATACGGAGTAATGCTCCGTAATTATTTTTTAAAGGATCAATTGGACAACATTAATTCAAAGAATCAAAATATATTTTCTAAATCAAATAATCAAAGTATATTGCATCATACTAGGGGTAATTCACAAATCACATTCTCGTGAAAGAATGGTTATTTGGTGCACTTTGGGTGCATATCAATTTTGTAAAGTTTCTCACATAATTTTTTTTAAATTTGAAAAACCAAATGCTTAATTAAGTGGTAAAGAAATACTCTCTCTGTCCCGGAGTATTCGTTCAGTTTTGACTTTTAAAACTGTTCATCTAAGCACTTTGACTCATCAAATTCTCTCAATATGTAAACCTAAATATAACCATGTGTGATCTTGTTTGATTTGTCTTAACATAAAGATTATTAATATATAATTTCTATAATTTTTTAATATACAAATTACAAGATAAAATGAATTAAAGAAGTATATTGGATGATGTGTAAAAATGAAAGTGGATAAATATATAGATTTGGATCTTATGTCCATAAAATTTGTCCGTGAAAATCTCTTTCAAATTACAATGCTTCATTCAAATTTGGGCAATGCTACGTTCACAAACAGAAGGATCACAAACTTACTAATTATGGTTTAAATTCTCATTTTAAAATTATTTTAGACTATTTAATTTTCTTTATTGAAGTTCACAAATGGTAAGTTTGTGAGCTTGAGTTTGTGAACCAAGCATTTCCCTTCAAATTTAAATGTAACTTTGGTCCTATACGCAGATGCTTCGTTAGCACGTCCATGACGGACCCAAAGTCCGCCTTGACATTCACCGGCGGGTTAGCAAACCGGCAGCCCATCCCTTCGATCTCGCCGGAGTGATACTCAATCTTTGACTGCGTGAACTTGAGCCCGTGAGCGGTGCTGATCACCACCGTCCTGTCGGCGCCGCCGATCACGCCTCGCTGCCTGAGCTTCATCAGCGCCGCGAGCGCCACGCCGGTGTGGGGACAGCAGAACATCCCCGTGGAATCCGCCATCGCGGCTGCGTCCATCAGCTCCTCCTCCGTCGCCTCCTCCACGATCCCGCCGGATTCCTTCAGCGCGTGCACCGCCCTGTGGACGGAGACCGGGTCGCCGATCTGGATCGCGGAGGCGAATGTCGTGCCCGCTTTGATGGGCCTGAATTCGGCCCATCCGGATTTGTAGTAGCGGTATAACGGGTCGGCGTTTGCTGCTTGGGCGCAGACCAATTTAGGCATTTTGTGAACAAGGCCCAATTCTTGGCACATTTTGAAGCCCTTATAGAACGCATAGATGTTACCCAAATTCCCGCCCGGGATGATCACCTGTTAATTCAATCATTAACCAAAACACCACACATTGTAAATAATACGAAGTATTATTAAAGATTGCGACAACTAATTCTAATTTGGGAAATATTTTTAGAAATATTTACACTTATGATAAAATAACAGTTCAAAGTGAATACTTCCTCCGTCCAATAATAAAATTCTCGTTCACTATTCACATGGTCAAACTTTATTCGGCCTATTTTTGTGTCTTATTTGATACTCCCTCCGTCCTAAAATTTTCTTCCCAGAGCACTATTCCAACTTCACGGGAATTTACATTTATTTGTGTTTTTCATGGCCTATATGATAAAATAAAATATTCTTGTCACCACTTGTTTTGTGGAACTTTTGATGTAGTTTTAAATTTGTATGTTTTATTTTTTATTTCTATACCAATATTTAAATAAAATAGATTGAAAAAATTTGGGATTTTTCTTCGTTTCGCGCAACGGGAAGAAAGATATAGGACGGAGGGAGTAAAATAATATAGTCATGTCACCTCTAGTTTTGTAGATTTTTTCATGTAGTTTTTAAATATGTAATTTTTATTTTTTAATTCCATACCATTTTTCATATAAAATGATTTGAAAATAATTTCAGTCAAACATCGTAACGCGCAATGGGAACTTTATTTGTGGACGGAGGGAGTATATTACTATTAAATTTTAATCACAATTTAATTGTAACCAAAGTTAAACATGTTACCACAAAATTTGAATAAGAAGAAGTTATGGGACAAGGACTAGAGATGACAACGGGTCGGGTTCAGACTGGATAGTATATACGTCAATACCCGAATCCAACCCGACTTTAAAATTGAAATCTGAACACCGACCCAAAACTCGGCTTCTTAATCCAAAAATCCGACTTGAATCCGATATTTAAACCCAAAACCTGAACCTGAATTTGTAATTTAACAAATAATCAATCCGACGTATCCTAATAATTTTAAAAAAATTAAATCATAATTTTGTTGGGTCTCTTTTTTTGCGTCTCATTTTTTATTAAGGATTTAAAAAAACAAGTATAAAAGGCATACTCCTTCCATCCCTAAATAGATTACAATTATTTTTTTCTCTCCTCTCGGTGACTTTTGTTTGTTTACGCGATTTCATTAACTATTTGATAAAATAAAATATTCTTGTCACCTCTTGTTTTGTAGAATTTTGACGTAGTTTTTTAATATGTAGTTTTTATATCTTATCGATATACCAATTGTAAATAAAATGATTTCAAAAAGTAAGAAATTTTGTTCTGTAACCCGCAATTTGTAATCTAATTGGGGACGGAGAGAGTACTTAATATGGTAGCACCTTGTCAAGAGATTATACGGCGTATTTATTATATCCATGGATATACTTTAATGTTACAAAAAATTCGGGTTTGAGTCGGATCGGTTCGGGTTTGGGTCGAGTAAAATTATAAACTCACACCCGACCTGACCCGATGTCGGGTTCAGATAAAAAATTTTGAGTCAGATTCAGATTGTTTTATTTTCGGTTCGAGTTCGGATATTTTAGTTGTCGGTGAGTCGGTCGGGTCACTTAAGATCGAGTTCGAGTTGAACTAGGACAAATAAGGAGAGTGTGAAAAGGTTTTACACCCTCCGTCCCCAATTTGATTACAAATTGCAGGTTACAAAGTAAAATTTCTTACTTTTTGAAATCATTTTATTTAAAAATTGGTATATCAATAAGATAAAAAATTACATATTAAAAACTACGTCAAAAGTTCTACAAAACAAGAGGTGTTAAGAATATTTTATTTTATCAAATACTTAATGAAATCGCGTAAGTAAGCAAAAGTTATCGAGAGGGGAGAGGAAAAAAATTGTAATTGGGAAGGAGGTAGTATTATTTACCCAGTCGGGGACCTCCCAGTTGAACTGTTGCAGAATCTCGATGGCGGCGGTTTTCTGGCCTTCAAGGCGGAGGCTGTTGAGGGAATTGGCCAAGTAAATGGGCATCTCCGCCGTGACTTGCCGGATCAGCTTCATGCATCCGTCGAAGTCGGTGTCGATGCTGAGGACGAAGGCGCCGTTCGCTATGGGCTGCACCAGCTGCGCCATCGAGATCTTGTCCGCCGGCAGAAACACTATCGACGGGATGTTCGCGGCGGCGCAGTATGCCGACAGGGCGGCGGAGGTGTCTCCGGTTGAAGCGCAGCCCACTCCCACCAAACTCCCCGGTTTCCTTTTCATTATCCGGTTCACTTGGCTCACCAGAACCGTCATTCCCAAATCCTGTTAATAATAAACAGTAATTAGTTGATTTTCCTTAATATTTTTAATTTTATTCTCTCTCCCACTAAATAAAATGAAATATTTTTAGCAATAAAATTCACATTTCATTATTGTGTATCCAAGGATCCAACATTAATCATTTCTAATAACATATTTTTTCCGTATTATTAAAAATATGGTAATCTGACATTTTAAGGAAATATCGATTAACAAAAATAATTAGTTTTACTTTAATCTTAAATAGGTAAAAGATTTATGACATTGAAAGTTAAACACAATAATCCAATATTGACTTTGAACAAAAAGTGAAATTCATTCATTGTAAAACACGTTTCGTTTGGCTAATAAATTCGAGCTACCAACATTAGCTTTGGTGACTCTCCATATGGGAGATCACAAGTTCCATTCTTAATGGGGATAATAATTCTACACGCTTAAAAAATTGAGAATGTATAAAAAGATATTTCCTCCGTCTCACAAAGAATTCTCATTTTGAATACTCCCTCCGTCCTAAAATTAATTTCCTAGTTTGACTTTTATAGTTAATGTTTTTAAACTTTTTGACTGTAAATATCAGAAAAAATATATTGAATTTTCATATAAATTTATTATCAATAGATTCATTTTAAAATATATTTTTGTAATATATATGCAAATAAAAATGAAGATATATTAATGTCAAAAGTGTCGCATTAAAGATCGTGAAAAGTCAAACGAGAAATTAATTTTAGGACGGAGGGAGTAGTATTTAGTCAAATGTTTACATGTTTTGACTACAAATTGTAAGAAAGGTATATTGAATTATAAAATAAATTTAATATAATTAATTGGATTCAACTTAGGATCTAGTTTTGATATCTCAAATTGTTTTTTGCATTTCTTTATTTAGATTATATTTAATTTATGGTCAAAGCGTGTATCTGTTTGACCAAAAATACATCAAAATGGAAACTAATTAGGTAGTATTATATTAGGCCTAATAGCTCCGGTGCCCCTGTGTTTTGAAAAATTGGCACCAATACCCCTTCTGTTTTCAAATCTTATTTCTAAAGTCCATGTGATTTCAAAACGTTGCACCCACACCTCCTCTGATCATTTTCCGGCGAAGATGAGGCATTGGCGCATAATTTCTAAACCATAGGGGGCATTGTGCTCATTTCTTATTTTCCGTTTATTATTTGTGTTTTTCTTTCTTTTTCCTTTTCCTAGATTTTTTTTTAATTTCTTTTCAATTTTTTATAATGTTTTAAAATTTTTTAAAATTATTTGTGTTTGAACTAATAAAAAAAAATAACATACATTACATCTATCTCAAATTAAACATTTTCACTTTTTAATACATAGAATAATTTTTTGGAAAGTTCAAAAAGAAAACCCAAAATAAAAATATGGAAAAACGAAATGAAAAAATTAAAATACTAAAAAAAGAGTCTTCTTCAAAAAACAATTTTGGAACACGCCTAAAAATATCCTTAAAATTGAAATGTCCAACAAGGATAATCATTTTTATTTTTTTATTATTTTGTTTCTTATTTTATTCATCATTTTTAGAAGTTCTAAAAAAATTACCTTTTTCGGAAAAAACAAAAATTGTTAATTTGAGACGTGCCGATGCATTATATGTTAATTTTTTCAAACAAAAATAACTTTAAATTTTAAGAAAAAATTATAAAAGTAATTGTAAAATAACCTTTATTAATAAATGAAACAAATAAAGGAAAAAAATGGGAAAAAAAGAGAGAAATAAAAAATCAGCACTGGTACCCCCCATGGTTTAGAAAATATGCACGAATGCCCCCCTTTTTCGCCGGAAAATGATCAGAGGGGGCACAGGTGCAGCGTTTTGAAACCACAAGGACTTTAGAAATAAGTTTTGAAAAGAATGGAGTATTGCTGCCTATTTTGCAAATCACGGGGGTACTAACGCTATTGGGCCTATTATATTATAATCGAGTTACTAGTCTTAAAAAAATTACAAGATGATTTATGACTAATTAGGTAGTCGTTTGTGACAAATCCCACTTCCACTTGATCACTATTCTAGGATTAAAAAAAGTTGAGGAATGTGTTGTTTTTCCGTGGTCTTAAGGCCCGTATGTGAAATGTAGACCTTCTCATATTCTTTCATCGGGAAAAAAAGTAATTTTTTGACAAAAGCGATATCAATACACTAAAGACCACAAAATTGCTTTTAGCTGAGGTGAATATATAACATTTTTTCGTATGACATTTCTAAGTTAATGTTTGTATACAGAAAAAATATATAAATAAATATGAACGGTTTCTTTTGAAAGAAAGAAATATTAATTTGGAAAAAAAAATAATATTGTCAAAATAATTTGAAATATATGCATAGTGATCACCTTGAAGCTTCCGGTGTGGCTAATCCCACACTGCTTAACCCAAAGGTCATTCATCTCCACGAATTCCTTCCCGAATCTCTCCGCCCAGAAGAGATTGGAGTTCCCTTCGAACAAGCTCACCACATCGCCGCCGTCCATCTCCGGCAACACCCATTCCTTCTTCGACCAGACGCCCGACCCGTAAGGCCACGCCGTCTTCCCCGCCCGAGAATCGAACAGTCTCTTCCAGTACTCCCCGTCGAACTGCCTCAGCGCCTCCACGTCGTGCTTAACGTCCAGAAGCTCGCCGGAGCTGCTCCGGTAGACGACCTCGTCCAGGGAGTACGATTCCCCGGCAGTGCCGCCGATGGAGGCGGTGAAGGGTACGTACTTGGCGGAGAACGTGACGGCGGACGGCGGCGGGGCTGGGTTCTGCTGGGTTGTAATTGCCCTGCAGGATATGTTCCGGCGGCCGAGGACGGCGGCGGCCGAGATGGTGTGGCATGCCATGGCGGCTGGCATATACTCTACTGAAAAAAATGAAATAACTTTCTGAGACTATTATGTTCTCATTTGGGTATATATATTTGGAAGGATATCAAAGCATTTAAATATGGGGGTATATATAGGGTCTATTTGGATATATAGTTATAAATTGACGTCAGCGTTTTTGATAAAAAATTTAACGATGCAAATTTCTTCAAAAACATTGTCCGTAGATAGTCTTTTCAAAATGCTAATGCTAATCTCTAACGCTATTCCCAAACAGGTTTATATACTCACTCTAAGAAAAGATATTTTGAATTTGATTTTTAACATTTTTTAGGGAGAGTTTAAAAGAAAATGGAAACTTATTAAATTACTTCGTAATTATTAGAGTGAGGAGTGAAAAATATTTCTTGGAAGGAGTATTTTATAGAGGATTTACTCGTTTCTGGAAAAAAACTAAACTAGGAGTAAATATGGAAAATGTACCAAAATATGAGTTTTATTTCTTTATTTCTTTATTTCCAAAATATTAGTTACAAATTACAATACAAATACAATGATAATTGTGTCAATATGTAATGGCCCCGTTTGGCGTTAGCGTTAGAGATTAGCGTTAGCTTTTTGAAAATGCTAACTAAAGGTAGTTTTTAGCATTAGCGTCTTCAGAATTATTCTATGTCGTTAAAATTCTATTCAATACAGCTAATGATAATCGAAAACGTTATTCCCAAAAAAGGCATATATCAAAACGTATTATTAAATTTTCATATTGAATATCACATTATCATAATGCAAACTTTTATTTTAAGGATAAAAATATAAAGTTTCTATTTTGATAATTTTTTTTGTTTTAGTCCTATTTATGATGTTTTTTGCTGGGCAATAGAGGTTTTAGTTGCTTAAAGCTTTATCTATGACAATAAATTTAGGGAAAAAATAAAATATCTTTAGAAATTATAAGATAGACGTACTTTATAAGATACAGAGTACTCCGTAATTTTTATATAACATTCAATATATGTCATTTTTAGTGGGAAATGCTAGAGTCACAAATGCATGAACCATAAAATTTGACCGACCAAACACAATAAAGTGGATGATTAAGAAATTTATTTATGACAAATAATGCTACGCAAAGTTAAAAAAATCCAACCTAACACTATACCATATACTTCGTTCATATCGATTCATGCACAACACATTTTTTTTGCTCCGTATTTATTTATTTAATCTCGGTTGGTTCGTCTCTACACCTTTCCCCATTTAATTCCCCTTTCTATTTTATATTTTTAAAAACTTCTAAAAAATGATACAGTATATAATTTGGTTTAGTATTTTAATAAATTATACTCCGTACATGGCAAGCTAAGGATGTAGATCTCTTCTTTCTTTTTTTGTATGGCTAATTTTGTTTTTTAACATCATTCTTTTTTTACTTTCTCTGACGAAAGTAAAAAAAAATTCTTTCAATGTACTTTCTCTGTATTAGATAAGGCCGGCCCAAGACATGTTATCCATGCTCAATGACACATGACCCAAAAAGTAGAGTGCTCAATCCCATTAGCCCATTACTTTTTAAAAATACAAGTAGCATTATTTATCCCAAAAAATTGCTGATGGGTACCCTCAGTTTTGTGATAAAGACTATCGGGTACTCCTCATTCTAAAAATATACTACGAGGTACCTCTGATTATTCAAAAACTAACTGGGAGGAGATCTTTTTATCCATTCTTCAATATGGATAAAAAGATCTCCTCCCGATTAGTTTTCGAATAATCAGAGCTACCTCGTAGTATATTTTTAGAATGAGGGGTACCCAATAGTCTTTATCACAAAACTGAGGGTACCTATCAGCAATTTTTTGTATTTATCCATTGAACTCATTTCTTTCTCTAGAGTCTATACTTAAAATTACCTTCGTCTTAAAATTATCTCCCAATGTCCTAAAATTATCTTTGATATTTTTGGACGGATGAAATATATATATAAAACACCTATGTAGACATTTGTGAAGTTGGATCTCATGGAACTTTACATGCCCTTCTCTCCAGGAGAGCATAATGCCTGGCACAGAGACAGGTGGGATGAGTTGGGGGTTTAGGAGGAGGGTTAGCGGTCAGAATCATCAAATTTTTACCAATGGAGGATGGTAGATGCCCGGATGATTCATTTCTAAGGTCAAAATGACCGTGGTGATTCTACAAATATCCACTTGTAAAACATCTCTAATCATCGTGAACTAGACTAGAGTATGACAATTGAGATATTTAGCTTTGACGTACACATTTGGGGGCCACCCAACAAACAAATGGGCAAACATCCCAAAATTGCAAAGGATTTTCTCTGCTTGTATTGGGGAGTGAGTCACTCGGACTGGACAGTCACCACAGATTTCTTCTTCTTCTTCTCCTCCTTGAGAATGGCTTGTCTGGGCATCACTTCAACCAAAAAGTTCCCTCCGTTCCAGATTGATGCCGAGATCTTGAGGACTTGGAACACGGCGTGCAGCTCGTACGAGAGGAATATTGGGACGGTGAGCGCCGTGGTTGCCATTGTGAATACTGCCTGCAGAAGAATGTACATCAACAACCGGTTTTGGTCGCCGAGCAGCCCACTTAGACGCCACCACAAGTTGTTTGCTTTCTGTGCCTTTTTCGATAGCTCCCTATAATCATTACAACCAAACAAGAAAATGTGTCTCATTACATACACATCCATTGATGGAAACAATAAAACGTCGCCAAAGACTCAAAGCAAGTGAGAATATCAAAGTAGAAACTTGGTGATTTTGCACTTATAAATTCCATATATTAGAGCTTATGCAATGTTGGACTATATGAGTATTTTAGTATTAGAGCAGGTTTGTTATTGTACCTTTTTTTTCACCTTATGTTTTCACCAAACAATAATATATTGTTTCGCCGAATTGGTTTTCACCAAACGATAACACGGCTTAGTGCATGAGTTTTTTTACTGATACTCCAGTATTATATAAAATGACATATTGACGTCCACTCTTTTCATCCATAACTTGAGCAAAATCAGCCTTGCTTTACCAAAAGGGATCTTAGATTACATAACAATTGAGGCACGTTGAAACAATAGAAATTATAGCAGGTAAAGGAAGAGCAAGACTCAACCTGTATGAAGTCATGACCTCAGGATCCCTTAAAAGTCTTTGGCGGCGTAAAACATCCACAATGAGGAAATAGAGGATCTGCCAGAGAGTGTATGTTATCAAGGGGACGAAAAACAGCCATGTCCAAAGGTAGGATTTGCTTTCTGCATAAGGCCATGAGGCTCTGCGGTCGTTCCCTTCAGGGTGCATGGCTCCAAAATAAACAGGATCCCACCATCGAATCGTAAAGAAAACCAATCCTGAAAATCAAGTAAAACATTAGAGGACGTAGATTAGCTCATAGCATATTGCATCTATTACTATAAGCAGTGGCTTATCTAGACACTGTTTTCAAAGAGGCATGATATAATTTAATATATATAGAAACTAAATTATACTAAACTTAGGAAGGTTTGAAGCTGCATATATAATTATTAAGTAAAAAATATGTGTACAACTATTACATGCAAAGGATATACTCGTATATATTTTCAACCAGAGGGGCTAGGGGTCCTCCCCCCCTCCTCCACCAAAGTGCCCCTCTTACATCCGCTTTCAATTTCAGGGCCTATTTACTTTGCAAAGAAAGAGAGCAGAACAGATGTAGATCATACGGACAAATGTTAAAATCTGTAACCATTATATTACAAAATAAATGGAGATATCTTACCAGGCAAAAGATGTATGAAGACACTGACAATTTTATCAGCAGAACTGAAGACCAAGCTACAACGCCAAACTATTAATGCCCATGCCAGTGGACCCTGCAAAGGGAACCAAATGAGTTAATGAGGAGACAGCATCAAGTTGGTAGATGGTGGATTTTTGGTTAAGAAGCCTACCTCAGCAAATGAGAAACAAACCATGAAAAGCTTTTCGTTTCTAGGATAAAAGAGAATTGTGATTACAAATATTGTATTAGCATAATAACAAAAGTCCTGCACAACAAGCCGGAAATGTGTTAGCTTCCTTCATCTTGCAATGACAGATAAAAGACTTCATATTAACTTATCATGAGTTGGCAGAGGGGAGAAAATCCATGAAGTGATTACAAAATCAGAAACTTGTAGTGACCTTAGTTTTGTTTAGTTATTTCTAAGACATTCAATTTATGTCCCATCTATCCCACTTCCCTGCCCGCATGAAAGTTAATAACTGAGTAACCAAGATAAAAAAATACTCGGGTAGACGGGTAGTATAATTTGGGAGCCATTTAGAAGCCACTCATATATCAGCCAAGATTTTCACCATCCACTAATTTATTGGTGGCACACTGAATTGGCTAGTAATGAGAAAAAAGTAGAAATAGAGGAATCACTATGGCTAAAGTTGCAAAAGTTGAACAATTTAGCCCCTTTCCAAAATTTTATTAATAGAATACTCCTCGCTCTGCCTCAAAATAAAAGTAATAGCACGACTTTGTGAAGTTGACAAAAGTGCTGAAAGATGAAAAGAGTTAAGAAGATAAAAATTGTGTGAGTCGCACATATTTTCCTTAACATGAAAGTAAGAGATTAAGGGCAAAATTGATTTTAGATAAACCCAATAAGAAAAAAGTGTTACGTTCATTTAGGAAAGATGATATTTTAAAACTATTTGTGCATAATTCACCAACTTCTTCAATATCAGCCAAAATTCACTCTTACCTAACATGCTCTTAATCCACCTAACCAAAGGGCAAAAAAGTAAGGTGAAGAGTTGCTTACCAAAAGATAGTAATGCCATTTCTTATATCGGTAGTAAATCCACCGAAGAGGAACAAAGGTAACATAGAACAAACAATATACATAAGGAATATCTTGTGGCCCTGAAAAATAACCAACCAATGCTTAAAATTACTTCATTCATTCATCCTATAAAAAGGTTCCACGTTTACTATTTTGTTCGTTTAAAAAATATTGTTCATCTTTCCTTGAAAGGAGTGAATTGTGTGGCTCATATCGTGTTTTCTCAGCAAAAAATTCAACCACACATTTTTAATTTTAATAATAAGAGTAAATTACCAAAACGGTTCTTTCTAATTAGGTATTTTCTAAAATTAGTCCTCAATAAGCAATAATTACATGTGTGGTCCTTTATAATTTAGATTTATTTCTCTGAATGGTCCTCTCTCGAAAATGTCTATTAAATTTTAGTTAAATAGAAAGCATTTTGGTATTTTCTATCATCTAGATTTAAAGTATATTTTCAAAATGCTCCTTTATAATTAAGTTTTTTCCAAACTGATAATTTATAAATAAATATTTTCTGAAATGAAGTCCATGAGCCTACTCAGGGTGGGTCCGTACATGTACTAGTCACCCAGTTAATTTGAAAGGACTATTTTGAAGACTTATTCATAGTTTAAATGATGGAAAATTCAAAAATACTCTCCATTTAATTGTCATTTAATAGGCATTTTTGAAAGAGAACTATTTAGATAATGCATCTCAATTACAAAGGACCACGTTGATAATTATTGATTATTGAGGACTAATTTGGAAAAATACATTATTAGAAAGGAACATTTTGGGATTTACTCTAATAATAACCATGCCTTACCAATTGTGGAACCTTATTGCGGGACAATAAGTATAAGCAAAAACTTGAATAACTCAGTTTCATAAGACAAATAGTGGGAATTCCACTTACTAGCACCCAAAATAAAGCAAAACGCCCCAAACCCAAGAACACCAAGCAGATGAGTCACCTGTTCACCACCATGAGCAGTTCCATCAATACACACGGAGTATTTAATTAGAATCTATTGCTGTCTCTGTCATTTAAAAAGCTAGGCCTAAAGGTTTGTTCAAAAAATCAATTCACATTTAATATTGCGCTATCAAGTAGCACAAATTGAAACCAATAAATTTGGTGCAGACTCAGTTTTGTTTGGACAATATCAGCATGAAAATGCTTGATAAAAAAAGGTGTGTCCATATGTGTGAATAACGGACCTTGGAGATGAAGGTTTCGTGTTCTTCAGCCCGCTTGGCAATCTTATCCGCATGCTCGGACAAGATCTTCTTCGTCTTCTCCTTCGTCTCCACCATTTTCTAGACAAAACAGCAGGATAAACATAAATCGACTGAAATCAAAGAGACGCGAATGAAATCGCACCGGCAAATACGTGGAAGAGATCAGCTCAGTTCTCGCCTTCGATCGATCCTTGAGCTTCTGCTTCACTTTGACGAATGAATCTTCATTAGAATTGACGAATGAATCCTCATTAGAATCCCCAATCGGATCTTCTCCGCTCGACATTTTCTCAGCGGCGGCGGGGGCGGTGGACGGAGGCGGTGGTGGTGGGGGCTTGGTAATCTGATAAGATGGCCCGGTTCTGCGGCCTTTTGTGCACTTTGTTCTACCTTCAACGTCTGTGATGTAGTAGTTGTTAATAAATGTGCGGAGAATAACTTAACAGGACGCCGAATCATCATGGAATAACTTGTTACAGAATTAAGGCTTTTCGTCCGGATGTCTTGTCCGGTTATATATAAACGGTTCGGAACGGTTCGGATTACAATCTTATCCCGGTTTGTCTCATAAAATTAGGGATCGGAACAAACGGGACGGATTCGGGTCGTCTCACTTTGTCCTAATCCCGAACATAAGAAGGTGGGTACTCAATCCAAAAGTCACAAAATGTCATAAATAAAAGTCATTAACTCCCAAAGACATCCAAAAACTAGTTGTGTATACCAAGCAATTAGCCACTGTCCATTGGATTTTTAGAGAATTGTGTATTAAAACTTTAAAAGTGAATTAGCTTAATAATGGGTTGAAACTTGAAGTTAACTTCATTAATTAAAGAATGAGTGTATAGAATTAAAATTATATATTAATAGAGTAGATAAAACGGAACAAACGGGACGGATCGGTATAAATTTAAGTTGTCCCGCTCATGTCCCATTTGATAATGGGACGGAACGGGTTCGGGATAAAAAAATGGTGTCCCAATTATTCGGTATAATTACAAAACGGATTCGGGATTTTTCGGAACGGTCCAACGGGAACATATTTCATGCCCACCCCTACTCTCTCCGTCCCAAAATATTCACAACATTTGCTTTTTCAGCAGTCACGAGAACTTTTGTTTATTTCTACGTTTTCATTGGTTATTTGATAAAATACAATAAGAGAACACAACAAAAATAAGACTACAATAATGTTCTTTTACATAGATATGACCAACTTTTTTATAGAATTAAACCATTAATGAAAATACAATAACATCTCTATCTTCATTAATTTCTTTTCGCGTGTATTTGTTTGAAAGGCAATACTACGGGCTTGTTTGGGAATAACTTTAGAGATTAGCGTTAGCGTTTTGGATAAAATTTTAACAGTACAGATTACTTTAGAAACGCTAACGCTAAACGCTGCCCGTAGATAATTTTTTCAAAAGCTAACGTTATTCCCACATAGACCCAACAATTACTAGAGGATAGTAACATAAGACAATATTGTCTTGACCAAAAGCAGTATTGAGAATGAAGGGAGTATCATCATTTGCATCGGCAATGTAAGGTCAAGACTCCTTGATCCTAACCTGCAGGCTTAGCGCACGGTGACTAAATCAATGTAGAGTTGGAGAGATTGCTATATCTATCTTACGTTAACTAAGTAAGACAAGTCAGTTTCAATCCACCTATCCTAAGCAAAGGCCGGTAGAAGTTCATGAGGAATATCCTGTCATGAGGATTGTCCTCATGACAATGAAGCCGAGGCTAGGGTTGAAAAGAGAGAATCTCTATATTTATATAACTTACCAACATAAGTTGGTGAGTAGGCATTTAAAAATACGTAGTGATGAGAGGAGGGAGATGGTGAAGAGGATATAGCGATAGCAATATGAGATGACGGGGTGAGTTGGGGAGGGGATGGGGTTCGACAACAGGCCAGGGAACAAGAGATTGTGGCAGGAACGAGGTGTCCGCAGAGAACGGGGGATGGTGGCAAGGAACAAAGGATGATGGAGCGAAGAGGAAATACCCGCGACAATTTACATTCAATTTGGGGCATTGGAGATGTAAAGGAGGCAAAGAAAAAAAATAGAAAAAACATTAAGGCTCTGTTTGGTACATGAAATTCAAACAATGAAATTGGAATTATGAATAATAATTTCAATTCTACCGTTTGGTAGCACAAAAATATGTGGATTTGGAATTAGTAGTGTCAAAAATGAAATGAAATTGGAAAATTTAATTCCGTCCAAATCAATTCCATAGAATTTTAACTTTCAATTCAATTCCAATTTCGTTAATTCTGTGTACCAAACGGACCCTAAGGGTAAAAGTGATCATGAAAATATAGGAATTACACGATTAGGACTGTATTTATTCAAAAAAAACGATAAACATGATCATATTCATGTAAATATTCTATATTTAAGTCATATCTTAAGTAATTATCGCTTTTAAGAATAGAAGAACTATTAACTCACAAAGGAGATTTTTCTTAACGAATATGCAAATTAGGCTTTAAAAAAGCTACAATTAGATATTGGATTAAGCAAGAAATATAATTCCTCTAACGAATTAACTTTGAAAATATTAAAAAAATAAAAGTCCATTGAAATAACATTTTTGAAGTGTAATTCTTTACGTTGAAGCCATCATTCCCTTGAGGTCTGTTTGGATACAAGTCATTGAATTAAGATTGAATGCAAGTGCGAGAAATGACATTCTAGCTCATATTCGATTGGTCGTGTAAAGTGTCAAGTGTAAATACAAAGTAATTAGCATTATATATCGAGTTTCACGAAGTTTAGATTAGACAAACCAAAATGTTAGCTCGAGTCCATCTCATAATTTTAATCCAAATAATTTTAACCATACGCGTCAAGAACACGCGTCAACATCTAGTTAGACCAAACCCGCATCCAAGCCGGGACCATTTGGTCCCTGCAATATTCCCCCCTCCCCATCACATTATCAAATTTGATGTTGGATGGTGCCCTTAAAATGGACAAAACTCTAATGCACTGAAGTTTTCGATACTTTCGGCATCGGTTACCCAATCTTTACCCAAATGAGAATATATTCATACTATTAGCCAGCAGTAAATCATCATCCTGATAAACAAGAGTGGGGAGTGGGGACTGAAGTTTGAAATACATTGCCTATCTGTTACGAATCGAAAGCAGAAGAAGTTTTAAGGTGAGAAGCCGAAGGAGACAACTAAAACCTGCAAGTGAAGATCAGAAGAACCCACAAGATAGAGAGAGGATCATCAAGGCCTTGGCCTCTTATTGCTGCAAGACGGGCACTTGTATTGCTTTATGTGTTCAGCCCTAGCAGGGGTGATCTTCACACACTTCCCATGGAACCACCTCTCGCATATGTCGCAGCAAATCCAGAATTCATCTGAAGCATAGTTCTCGCCGCATGCCCCACACAGGGTATCACTGTGTTCGTCCTCGTCCTCATCTTCATCAACTTCCTCATCATCGTCCACACGTTGGACTTTAGAGTGCTTTGTCTGTGATTCATAAGGACAGTCACTATCTTCATTAAAAAAAACATGAATATGTAACTATGTAGCATCCAAGAGTTTCAGGGCATAACTGGATTTAGCGAAATGCTAATTGGAAAAGGAAATATGATTATATAAAAAACAAAAATTAATATGTAGTTAGATTTCTTAATATCAATAAATATCTCAATTGAGATTGATTAAATATTTAAAATTGATTTATTGAGTTTTAATACGGATTATATTTATTTTCCGTCAATATGTTTTTCCTTCTAACTCTCCTCTCTATTTTCATACCCTAGCATTTTCAAGGCTCCGAATGAATGCTTAACGAACTACATCTACATGCTTGAAATAAATAAAATCTGATCCTCATTCCCTCAATTTACCATTTTAGAGTTTGACTTGGTTTTGTTGCTGCTGTTCTGATGGGTAACAGATGATCTTTCCTTTGATTGTTTCCTAGCAGCTCCACTGACAACTTCAAGGATCGTAGGGAGATCATTTATCATATTGAAGAGGCGTTTCCTGCATGAAAACACCATAAAGAACATTAGACGGAGTAAATGAAATGCATTAATCTTTCATAACTACTCCATCAAGTGTTCAAGGTTTGGGTCCAAACATCTTTGCGGTCCTGTTTGGAACCTGGAAAATGCTAGGGAAAGAATATAGGGAGGAAAATAGAGGGGGAATTCCAATGGAAATAAATCAGGAAAAACCTGAAAACTTGGTTCTAACTCATTCCTCTATGTTTTCCTTCCTGTTTTATTTCCATAGTATTTTTAGAGTTTAAAACAGATCCTTAGATGGATTAAATGAAACATAGTACACTTTCATAACCCGCCCATCACACAACCTATGTGTTTTTCGTCACAGATTTTAGGATCACTTCCATTCTACGAAAATGGGGCAAAAGGCATTAGATAAGGTTATATGTATTGCATCAAGTGAGCATGTCATCTCTATGGGACATGTCTTCATAAACCAAATGTAAATTCAATCACACAAAACAAATAAAGCAATAAAAAGGGAGGGTGGATATACAAAAAAAACAAGGAAATAAAGTTGTTTTAAAAAAATCAAAATAGTTAACATTAGTTGTTACCTATCAGCTTTGTCAAAACCAAATCTGGCACCAAAATAGAAGGCAACTGAAAGTAGCCATGCATCACTATGAACAGCAACAAGAGATAACCAGTCCTTTTCATGCATCCCATCTCTGGCAAAGTTGATACCTAATGTCGGCTCTGGAACTTCGGGAGGAACCTCCTCGGCAGGTAAATTTACTTCCCACTGCTCAGTTGGAAACCCATAGAGACAGAGGTTCTCCTTATCTGTGAGGTTGGAAGGTTTAAATGTTTCAAATTAGACATAATCTACCACGAATAAGAGAAGCCACTCCATCCCTCCCTGGCTCCCTCTTTCCCTCTCCACACAACAGGTGTGACATAGCTACACAAGCTTGTCATAAAATGATAGATAGAACATTAACACAGAAGAAATAATCCCCAGATGATTCAGAATTTCAAAGAAAAGGGCCTGGAAGGCTGGAACATATTTTCTACACTGTTAGTTTTTTCATAGTCTGTTAGGATAGAAGGCCTTGGAGAATTACGAGGGGAATGCTTTGGAGGAATTAGTACATATCTTGATAATAGAATGTTTCTAATACAAAACAGAATAGGGTGATTATGATCACATATTTGGTTATTCCATAACAATTTTAAATTCATGTAGAGTTGAGGTATAATTCTGATTTTATTAAAAATACAGACAATGAATATTCTTTAAATCTAGACTTTATGATTCACTATTTACAGAGAGATAACACATCAAACCATTTATCAGGAAAGTTTTGAATAGTTATGATGACTGAACAACTCACTTCTTGGTGTTCCTAAATTCGGCACGAATAAAATAAACATACACCAGTACATGAATGCAACAATGCACTTGTGGAGGTTGTTAACCTATGATTTATAAGGTTTTCAAGCATCACGCTTCACGGCAGTGATATTCAACTAGATGCTTATCCAATTCAGTATATCCACACCAGCGTAAAGCAAGAAAAACAGTAAAGATAATTTTGTAATCAAAATCTAGACCATGTCATGTAATTGAGGCAGGTGGTTGTACTTAGAATTCTCCTATAAGTCAATAAAGAAACAGCAATGAAAATGAATCCAGACAATAAACTAACTGATCTCTCTTACAAAACTTCATAAAGCATTATCAGAAAGACCACAACCTCAAGCCTTTAACCATGTGGCACAACACTTGCTCTAAATAAAGTTACAAGCAGTCCAGCACAGTTATATACACACAGAACAAGTCAGAATCCTCAGGCCAGTATCAATAAAAGCATTAGTGTGCTAAAATAATACCAGCAACGTAATAAATTCTGAACACTATATTGTTACTGCCTACTATTGCTTATGACAGCAAACAAACCAAATGTTGGAAGATGTTCTGATGAATCTTCTGATAGTAAAGTTCTTGAGAAAAATAAGGCATTTCCACATCAGCATTCCAGCAACATAGGAACAACGAAAAGAAAACTATGCAAAATACTCCCTAGAAAACTATTTTTCTGAAACTAAAATGACAAATCAGCACGGAGAACACTCTCTTATTTTAAAAAATACTTCATCCATCTTGAAAGAAATTTCCGTGCTTGACTTCGAGTTTAAGAAAAGTGTCAAAAAATAAAATAAGGATGATTGAAATTTTATAAGAAAAGAGAGAGATCATGAATCACATATTTCATTCATAAATATGAAAAAGGACTTGAATACGGAAAAGGAGAAATATGAAGTTTATTTTGGGACAACCAAAAACAAAAAGTCCGGGACGAGTATCAACCACAAAAACAGACATATTCAGCTGTATTTACATACTAAAGAGATGTGATTCCACAAGTAGCAACAGAGAACATCAGAAGAGGAGAAAAATCATTGACTAACCAGGATCACATTGCTGATAAAACTCATCCACATCTGCAAAAAAAACAAATTAACAAAACGAAAGTTCATATTAGAAAGGAGTAACGATAAATCTCGTAAAACCCCTAAAACCTCAAGAGCAAGGAACTCGAAACGACACACAGAGCTCGATGCGGAGAAATTCATACTACGGAATGCAATGGAATCCATAAAAACGTGCAAATTCGTGCGTGTACAGAGACATACCGGTAGTCAGAGCCTTGATCATTCCACCGCGGCGGCCCATGAAATCCCTAAACACCTGATCTACAGTCCGAGGACTCGTCGGCGCGCCTCCGTTCATCGCCTTTCTTCTTCGTCGTCTTCTTCTTTCTTCTCGCTGAGAAAACGGAAGAAGAGATAGATATGGAGGGAGAAAGCGGTGTTCTGTTGCTGCTTCTTCCGCTAAGTGATGTTAAAAGGTGCTTGCGGATAGTAGGAGGGCGAATTTGCAATTGAGAGAATTTGAAAGGGTTATTCTCGCAAAGCTGCCAGAGGATCTGCCTGTAAATCCGAAACACAAAAAATTTATCAAAAAATTACTTCTGGGTGAGACGAGTTTCTTTATATTTTCAAAAAAACATCAGGCACCCTTACATTTTATTGTAAAGACTCGAAGGGAACATTCCTCTATTATTCCGTTAATAACCGCTAAAGAATCTTTTTTTTATTTTTTCCTTATTGTAGTCGTTTTAATTACATGAGAAATTTACCAAAATATGACTAAAATATAATGACTTTTTCAATATAGAACCATATGTTTTTATTTCCCAATGTAGGATCATTGGTCATTATCTATTAGTCATTATTCAACCAAATGTCCAGCATCACTTGGACATTATTCTTCTCACTAATCATTATTAAGTCCTATTCAGGGAATAAAAATCACTATATGTAGCACTCTAAGACACCCAATATACACATATAGCACTCCTTATTATTTTTCACACATTTAGCTATTTATGGCATGGATCTCTTCCAATCATACTCTTTTATAATAATGCAGTACTTTAATTATTTCATTTACCATATGTATTGTGATCCATAATTTTAGGAGGTTACTCTCATTCCTTGTACGTAACACTTAGAACCGTCATGTCACTCCTCAGTGCTTAACCACATTTAATAAATGAAATTAGAAGTGTATATCAACTTTTTTAGCAGTGTGGAATGGTCATGTTATGCCTACACTTTCAGGTAGTGTGTTATGCACATGTTTTGGGCAGTGTGTTATGGTTCACAATACTTAACTACACTTTCTGACAGTGTGTTATGCCTTTGTTCTAGAGTATATATATATATCAACTTAAACACATTTTTTGGTAGTGTGGAATGATCATGCTTTAGCAGTGTGGATACATGTTATATTGGGTGTGACAGCAATGTGTTATGTCCATGTTCTAGAAGTATATATATATCAACTTAAACACATTTCTTGACAGTGATGGGTATTAACCCATTGATTCCACCCAGCAGGTTAGCAACCGGTCGAGAGGTACCTAAGTCTGACGCCTCATGACTTGGTCAGCCCGGGTAGTTTGACCGGTCGGGATTGAGAAGATTCAGAGTTGAGAACATGACTTCGTCTGAGGAAGGCATGGATACTTACCGGTTGAAGGCTAATCGGCAGAAAGAACAATAGCGTCGGGACGTGCTTGACGTGCTTGTTTATTCTTATAAAGAGAAGTAAAAGCCTCATTAGAAATGCATGCTTTTAATTAATCCACACGGCTTGTAACTTTGTAAATAGTCTCATTATCATTAATAATAAACCGGATTACAGGTATTCCCACATACAGCCCTTCAGCTTATTCGCACTTAGTACTTGCATGGTTTTACACCATCAGACAGTGTGAAACATAAAGACAAATTTAGAGCCTGTTTGTCACTGTGTTGGATTAACGAAAGTGATTATTTTTGTATCACTTAATGAAAAATCCATAATCTAAAGTTAGTATCAAAAGTAGTATTATTTGCAGCTCAAAGTGATTTATTGCCTTAACATGCATTCTAATGTTTGGCATTATAATCACTTCTAGATTTCTAACAAATAAACACATTTATTCTAATGCCCCTCTTTTTTTACGGTTCCTAGGATAATATTTTTACTGATGAATGGACAAGTAGATCAAATCAAAGGAGAACAAGGGGATGAGAGTACCTGTACAGAAATTAGGTTTGCAACATAACTATTTATACAAATAATTGTCAAGCTATTTGGGAAAAAGAGGGAAACTTTCCGGCGGGATGTTTTGGGAGATGACAATTGGCGGGATGTTCAGCAAAATTAAGTAAAAAATGAATTTGATAAAGAGAAGTAAAAAGATAAATAGATACTTCGTATGAAGGATTCTTTGTAAATTGTATGAAATTTGGTAAAGAGATTTGGCAGCATATTCTGGAAAAGGGTGGAGGGAAAATCGAAGAGGACAAGGTTAGAGAAGGTTAGAGAAAGTAACGGAGACCTAGGGAAATTGCTGTGAAAATCCTAATTTCAGTAGGTATATAAATACTCACCGTAGAAGTTATACGCCAGAAGCAACCTTGTGAAGCTTCGGCCAAACTCAGTTTAAAGCCCATAATTGTGTGTGAAAAAATCATAAGTGGACAGCCCAAACAACATAGAATCACTTTAGATCACCACATAATTTGATAATCGGCCTAAAAAAGCAATGACAAACAGGCTCTTAGAATTGCATCCACACGAGTTTCAATATCCTATAGCAGTGCTATATTGCATATTTTAAGTATATATTATTGCTATGACGGTACTTCTCCCTTTAGAAAATAAAAATGTTTAAGTCCTATATTGGGAAATGATCAATGTTTTAGTCCTATTTAGTGTAAAAAATTTTAATTAAATTTATTTTTTATAGCAAACAAATAATTTTTAGTTTTTGAAAAAACACTTACATAAGGAATTGAAAAAACTTTATGAAAAAAGAAAAATAAAGAAAAGGGAAATAAAAAGTGAAGGCCCTAAGTTTAATTAACAGAAATCATTAAGGGCAAAATAAAAAATACATTTTAGGGTCATTAAAGGAATAATCGACAGAATGTCCACTCATAGTATTTACAACAAAATATAAGGGCCTTTAATGTCTTTTCAAAAATACAAGAACCTGCGAGTTATTTCAACAAAACTCATATGACCCAATAGTAATTTGCTACAAATCTAGCCTGAAATTATTTACTCTCTCCGTCTTAAAACTTTCTGCCCAATTCAATTTACGAGGTTTGACTAAAATTATTTTCATTTTATTTTATTTGAGTATAAGTGTAAGGTTAAAAAATAAATTATTATATATTTAAAAACTGCATCAAAAGTTATACAAAACAAGGAGTGAGAATACTATATTATTTTATCAAATAACTAAAAATAATAGGTAAAAAAGGTGATTAAAGTTTGACCATATGAATAGTGATTGGGAAGAAAATTTTAGGACGGGGAAAGTATTTTAATTTCGAGTATGAACTTTAAAAATTGCTCTAATGATTCTTGAACATTTAAAAAAGTTGTATCAATCGTTCCTTTGAGTTAGATTAGGAGATGTATTATTCACATGTTCATCAAAATACATGTTGGAGTTTGATGAATTGATTGATTGACTGATTCCTATGCTTCGAGTTCAATTACAGATGGCTAAAGCGAGTATAATTATATACGGTTTAAAGATGTTAAAATTGTAGAAGATAATGTTATGAAAGACTACATTACAAAGCTCGCGTGTGATATATGACTTAAGATAAATGTATACTTGCACTAGACGGGCATGTGATTAATATACTCTCAAATCTGGGACAAAAAGACCATTGATGTATTATTTTTAAATGTTTAGAGATCATTGTTGCAGTTTTTGAAACTCAAGGAGATTCTATACAATTTTTAAAAAATTCAAATGTAAATAACACAAAAGAATTGTTTCCTCAAAGTCATAGTGATACTAACTCATAAGGCTCTGCAGTGTGGGTATGTGACAGCAATCCTGATGGCTACCATCTCAACGCGTGATGGAAAGGGAACATCGCCTCCCTCCCCTTTGACCATGATGGAGGTGATGGCGATCACACATGTCACCTGGACACATCTCTCCCAACTAGCCATTGTAACGGCTAGCATTCTTTTTCTTTTTCTATTATTTAAACACATCTTCACATATCAACTTCACATTTTCAATCCATCTTTTCTAATAATTTTCATCTTCTTTCTGCTCATAATATGGGCGTCATCCGTTTCTGATGAAGCTGAAACTGCTTTTATGAATACAATGGTGCAAGCAATTACGTTCCGATTCTCACGCAACAAGAAAGCGACAAACCGCCTGAACCACGTGGAAAAAAAGAGAACTGAACATAGATTAAATCGATATTTCTAATTTTTTTCATATCTTACTACAAATTAAATTATATTATTTTTATTATAATATTAATTGAAATTTTATCAAACTAATGCATAGGTGTCCAGGACTGGTTAGTTGCAGATGATTTTGCTGAAAAGCCGCTCTACAACAATGAACAATTCGGGTAAAGATTTCGCATGAGTAGCCGTATTTTTCTCCTCATTGCTAGTGATTTGGCGTGTACTCCTTATTTTTTTATGTTCCAACATGATGTCCGTCAGAAAGAGGGGTTTTCAACGTTGCAAAAGTGTACTACATCGCTACAATAATTTACTACGACACAACTTCAGATTCACTGAATGAGCATCTACGCATGTCTGACCGAACGGTGTGCAAATGTCTGTATGAGTATTGCAAATGAATTATCATGTTATACAACAAAAAGTATTTGTGCAGGTCCATATAGAAAGACTTACACTCATTATACATCAACAACAAAGACCTACATGGATTTATTGGCTTGTTAAACTGAATTGATTATATGTACTAGTGTTGCATAATTGTCCTAACACATGGCGAGGATAGTATACACGCGGGGGTCACAGCCACCCCATAGTCATGCTTAAGGCCGTTGTCTCGAATGATCTTAGGATCTGGCATTCTTTTTTTAGAGTGGCCATTTCGAACAACGATTTAAATGTCCTGGCCTGGGACAATCGAATATATTCAACAGAATCGTACAGGGTATCGAGCTCGATACTTCTTCTACAGTTTCTAGGGTGAAATACAAGCACAAATATTATCTTGTCGACCCTATCTATCTAGAGTACGCGGCTATAGTCAAAAGTATGTCGTTCTGTGATGACCAGAAGAGAAAGAAATTTGTCAAATATAAAAAATCGACAAAAAAAGATATAAAATGTCTAGTGTGCTCAAGCAGAGATATCGTGTTGTGCAAAACTAGGCGTGAGCCTTCACACCCAATAATGAACTGTTATGTACGTTTGTTGCATTCTACATAACATGATTATTGAAGACTAAGGACATGTGAATATGTGATATGCGAATATGATCAGAACAATGTGAATGAAAATGTTGAACAAGTTGATGTAGCGCAACAAGATCTCAACATGTTTGTGTTACAAAACACGCATATAATACGCACTAGAACCTTCTTGTCGGTTTGGTTGAACATTTGTTGTACCTTTTTAGTAATTGTACCTTTTTTACTCTTCCTATTTTTCAAATGAAATATGTAAATGCAATTTTAATTTCAAAATTAGTGAAATATTTATTTAATGTATTCATTTTAAGCAATTGTTTTAAACAAATGGAAAAAAATATAAAAAAAAGGAAAATGGTGGCAGGTAGTGATTGGCTTGATCTACACATTATGACCTACTCCCTCCGTCCCTAAATAGATTACAATTTTTTTCTCTCTCTCATCTCGATAACTTTTGTTTGTTTACGCGATTTCATTAAGTATTTGATAAAATAAAATATTCTTGTCACCTCTTGTTTTGTAGAATTTTTGACGTAGTTTTTTAATATGTAAATTTTATATCTTATTATTATACCAATTTGTAGATAAAATGATTTCAAAAAGTAAGAAATTTTACTCCGTAACCCGCAATTTGTAATCAAATTGGGGACGGAGGGAGTATAACATACTACCTCTGTTCCAAAAAGAATTTCCTATTTTGATTAACGTGCAAAATCCTGTGGATTTTAAAATGATTTTATTTGCAAATTGGTAAGGAAATAACACATAAAAAAATTATATTTAAAAACTACATCGAAAATTCTACAAAATAAAAGGTTGCAAGAATATTTCATTTTATTAAATGATCAATGAAAATATGCAAACAAATAAGAGTTATCGAGTGGTCATAATAGTAAACAGGAAAGACTTTTTGAGATGGAGTGAGTAATACAAATAAATGGTTTACCCATGCTGGTAATTAGGAGATTTACTCAGTTGCACGGTTTTAACCTTCGGTCCTACTCAATTAAGTTCTGCACTTCTGCCACCTTCTTCCTTGCGGAGGAGTGTCCATAAACACAAAGTCAGAAGCTCTCCAGGCCCCATTTCTTTCCATAATCTTCCCCGTTTTTGAAATCTCCTGTCCTTCCTGCACTATACTGGCTCTTCCAACAATGGACGCTTTCAGCTTGCTCAAGTTCTGGCGCACCGGTGGTGGTTTCGGCGGAAGCAGAGCCCTTGCTGGCCGACCCGGCTGTGACTCCTCCTCCTCCTCCTCCGGGAGGACCACCATTCTCGCCGTTTCGTCGCCTCATTTTTCCGACTCCGGCTCGGACGTCCCCCCCGAATCCGACGAAGGTCGCTTCATTGACTTGGAATTCACGACCGCTCCCGAAGACAAAGGCCGTGGAGACGACGGTGAAAAGGCCGATCAGCGGCGTAAGAAAAGTCAACATGCAGTAGGTGATGACGACGACGATGACGGAAGCGGGTCCGACGAGTCGTACGGCGAGAACGAAGAAGAAGGTGCGCTGAATTTGACTTTCTCGGCCGCGGATTCCTCCTCCGGCTCGAGCGCTGCGGATCCGTATTCCTCGGACGATATCTTCTTCAACGCCGCCGCCGGCCTTTTCCCCGTGGAGCCGTCTTCATCGGATGCCCGGGGGGCGGCGAACGCGAAATTCCCGGCGTCTCTGGTGAAAAAGGCGGCAAAATTCAGGGTCCTGATGCTGAAATTGAACAAGCCGAGAGCGAATAATGCGGAAAAAAAGGAGTCGGGAGGGACAAATCCAGGCCAAAAGGATGCGGAGGAGGACGAAGAAGACGAGAGCCCTATTGGAACGGAGAAGAGGCCATTGACGGTGAGATTCACAGTTGTTGAAGAAATCGAGCAGAAATCTAACGCAGAAGAGAAGAAGTTTTCCAGGGAACCGATGGAGAAATACTTGAATTTCGTGAGGCCGTTGTACGTCCGCGTCTCAAGGCGTTACGGAGGCGAGAAATTAGGGTTTTCCGGAGGGGCGAGTTTGAACCGGGTGGAATCGAAGGCGGAGAAAGGGGAAACCGATCCGGCGGCGGACAAGTCGTCGGCATTTAGGGTGAGGCAGGGCCTGAGAGGTCTCCGGGAACATCTAATCAAAAGCCGGACGGCGGCGCCGTCACCGGGGGCCTGGTCATCCCGGCGGCGCGACGACTCGCTGTTGCAACAAGAAGATGGGATTCAAGGCGCCATTTTACACTGCAAGAGATCTTTCCATTCTACCGGAGGTATAGATTTAGACCATCATCACGTTTCTATAATTATGCTAAAGATTGAAGAGAGAAAAAAGAAACTCATTTTTTTTTGTTTGCAGAGGACTCAAATGTGTCGCAGGAAAACCCGGTGAACATGTCAGACGACCTCAGCTCGCTGGACGAACCGGGTTCCCAAACGGGTTAATTAATCATCCATTATTTCATCCTACTCCCTACTAGTCCTTAATCCTTATATGACCTTATTATTAAGGATTAAGGATGTTTAACATTAATAGTCACTAGTTAGGCTATGTGTAAGGCTTTACTACCCATCGGCCGCTCACTCTAAACCAACAGTTATTCAGGGTTGCATAATTGCTCTCTGGACTCACTATCTTACTCAAAGTATACTTGCAGTGATCCAAAACGATTGCACTTTATATTTTATTTCAAATTTACTTATATTTTAACATTATAACAGTTAGACTTAAAAAAACACAAACTACATTAATTTTGAAAAGTACGCGATTGCATTACTTTAAAAACTAAAGCGGTTGAGTGTGAAGCCAGGAAGCTAGGTGGAAGCTAACAGGAAATTGGCAGGAAGCTACCTAGAAGCTTACGGCTTAATCATTGTCTCCCTAACTAATCTCTATTTAAGAGATGCTAATGTGCTTGTAATGGTGGTGCAACAACAAATAATAAAATCCTCCTAGTTGCCCTGTGTGGACGTAGGTTGCAGTTGGCGGCCGAACCATGTTAAATCCTGTGTCGTTTATTTTTATGCAGTTGATTTGTGATTGTGTGTTGTTTCCGTGTGCGTTAATTCCCAACAATTGGTATCGGAGCCTCGTTGTACAACACGAAAGCACAAATTGTGAGTTGTCACCTAGGTTTTGGGATCTGTGAACAGTCGCCGCTGTGAGGGCCGCGCCGGAGTGAGTCGCGCAGCAGGGGAGAGAGCCGCAGCCTTGGGGTTGCCTCGTTGCCGTCGTTGCGCAGCCTTGGTCTCCCGCCGACCGTTGCAGTCGCTGGGTAGGGCTTCGCGAGCAGCAGGCCGCGCCGCCCAGATCTACGCCGCCTGTTCGAGAAGGGGGAGAGCTGTGCAGGTGTTCGCCATCGTCTGCGAGCCGCCGCAGCGTCCCTTCGTAGCGCCGTCGTCGTCGTCCAGTGAAGAACCAAACCCATCGTCAATCCGCCGTCCGTGAGCAGTCAGGCCGCGTTGAGGAGCTGCCGCCGCGTGGAGGAGCTGAACCGCCGCGCCGTTTCGCTCTCCAAATCGCCGCCACCGTCCTGGTCGCCGCCGCCGTCCTGGTTGCCGCCGTGCAGATCCAGAGCCTCGCCGCCTTCTAGTTCCGTTGCTGAAGTGTGTCGCCCTAGCGCAGTGGAGTTGGGCCGTTTGCAGGCTTGCAGCAGAATTGAAGAAAAAGGGGTTGATTGGCAGCAAAAGGTGATCCGACCGAAGGAAGAAAAAAAAGGTGGGGTTTGGCAGAAAGTTTGGTCGGCCCATTTGTCCTTTGAATTAATTTTGTTGGCTGGTCTTCTTTGGTTATTTTTGGTGGCTTGGGTTTGGCGTATTTTAATTTGGACTGATTTATTTGGAGAGTTGGGCCTGTTTTCCTGACGAAATTACCAAGATCTGAAATTAGTTGTACCGGATATCTCGTTTGGTCGTGTGATATGGCAGAAGATGGGAAGTTCCAAATTGAGAAGTTCGATGGTACAGATTTCAGTTGGTGGAGAATGCA